TGCTGAACAGAAAATCCACGAGAATGAAACTCTCGACCAGCTCTTTATGGACCTCGACCAGAACGGAGACCTGGAGATCGACTTCAAAGAGTTCATCACCCTCATCGCCATGGTCACCTCAGCATGCCACGAACTCTTCGCCCCGAAGCGGCCGTGATAATTAGCTTGTTACTCATTAAAATGAAGAACACAGAAACAGTGTCTGAATTTTGTAAGTGGGAATTAATTATTAAAAGGAAATATGATAATCACCAACCTGGATAGCTCTTTGTTTCATTGTTTAATATTACACAAGTTTGTTGCATAAAATAAAATGTATAAATGATGACAACATATGAAGAATGACATGAGAGGAACACTGGTAGACAGAACTAACATGCTGACTAAGACATAAACGTAACAGGAACACAGGCAAGAATATAGGCAAAATGGCTGGCTCAGGTGAGAACACAAATATCAACAAACTGCAATCAAACAGGCAGGCAGACCAGGTAACACACGGAGAATACAGATAAATGTAACTACAAAACACAAACAGGCTTGGTAGAAACATAAAACCAGTTCACAACTAATCCAGCCAGTGACGCCTGCAGGATTATAATTCATAATACGCACAAGAACTGTCGACCCCATCATAAATCTTGTTTTAAGAAAAACTATTTGTCGTTATAACAAGATACTTTCCTCGTTTTTATAAAATATCTTCACATTAAAACATGTTTTCAATGTTATTATGACATACTGTAGTTTCTAGTTATAACAACATAAAGTATTATATCGTGAGCCCTGCACAGCCTGGATTGAGTGCAACATGCACACTGACCTTAGTTCTTTCAGTTCAGTAGCCTCTCTCTCATCAACACCCTCCAATGCAAACTGCCCATGCACTGGGCTTGGAGGTGCGCACCAGCCTTGAGAATCAATATCTGTCACTTTAATCCACTCTGAATAAATAGTCCACCAAATAACACATTAATGCACATTATGAGCCATGATAAATAGGTCTAAAATACTCATGCTCGTGCACATGTCCTAGTGATGTTTATTTATTTATTTATTAATTCCAAGCATATAATAAAACAGATAAGGGAAAAGAAATCATAATCAATATATACCTCAAAACAACCAGAGAAAACCCAAAAAAGAAAAGAGGAAAAAAAAAGTCTCATGATGATAAATGATCATTACATGCTTGCAAAGGAGTAGAAAGAAGTAATACTTATCTAGTTCTACCCCTGATAATCCAAACTATGATTAACCCAACTCAAGTGTTAAGCTAAACAGATACACTGGTTAAATTCCCGCGGCCCCGAATCACTGCATTCCTTCTAGCCAGAAATCACAATTGCACAATTAATAACCAAATTATATACAATAAATTATTCATATCCCACCCATAAATATACCAATAATATCATGATAATATCATTACACTTTCTGTATCCAATACCTAGCTATGCAGACCTTTTTATATTTGTTCTTAAATTGTTTTACACTTATACATTTTTTAAAATCATCACCCAATCTATTCCATAATTTTACCCCACACACAGATATACAAAAACCTTTACTCGTTGTACGTATAACCTGAGTTTTTAAATTTAGGTGGCCCCTCAA